TTAATGCAAAGCCAAAATTTATCCCATTCACCATGCGACAAGTTAAAGTGCGATAGAATTGAAAATAAGAAAAATGTGCAATTAGTATAGAAGGTGCAATACACGTTTTTTTGTGTGTGTGTGTGTAGAGATTGTTAATCTATATATAGAATTAAAGCGAAGAAAGATTAGAGAAAATGTCACACTTACCGGCGATATCCAATTGAACTTCACGTTGAACTGGTTCACCAATGCCATTGTCAGCAACACAAACATAAGTTCCGCTATCCGTTTTATGTACTTGAACGATTTTCAAATCACCATTCGATGTTAGTACAAATCGGCCTTGATCTGTATTTATCTGTTTAAAAAAAGTGAATTTCAACTCGTTTAAAGGATTTAAATCTATATATATATTTGTTCTTCGTCTCGTTTGTATACACATACCACAACTGAATTCTTCATCCATGAAACCGTTGGCAATGGATATCCAGTTGCATAGCATCGTAAAGTTGCAACACCACCTTCTGATTGAACAACGTTAACCTCTTCTTCCGTTTTGGCTTCAAGATAAACTGGTGCTGGAACTTGTGGTGCTTGAACGTCTGGATAATGTGATCGTGGTGGTGAAGTTGGTTCGTACGATTCAGGTGCAATACAAACTTGGCCGCATCCATTCGAACAACACTTATTATCACCACGGCAGTCGGCATCGGTGTAGCATTCCAGATCACATTGTGTATTATTATGTGCTGATGGACAGTCTCCCGGTTTGTTTACTAAAATTTCCAAATGCCAATTGGTCATCTCAATTGAAGTGAAATTGATTTTGCTATTTTGATGTACTCACTTTTACGGCAAACTGGTGCAAATGATGAGTCATGTGAGAAATCGACGGCACATTTTGAATCTTCCGGACACGGATAATCACGGCATGGATTTTCACATTCGCAACGTTGGCAACGATTTTCATCGTATGTTCTAGTCACTCCGTATGGGCATCGTAATGTGTTGCATTGATCGGTTTGTGCTTGACAAATATCATCAAAACGCTAAAACAATTTTCAAATGAATGTATTTTTATGATCATGTATTATTATTTTTTTTTTTTTGCAATTAAAATGTTTACAACACTTACAACATCGATATCTGGTATATTTGGTTTTTGTTCCGGTTCTTGTTCTGGTTCTTGTTCTGGGCGTTGTCTGCGTTGACATTGTGCTTGACAATCTGTAATCGAGTAGAAATTATTTTTGTTTCCACGGCATCCGCTATATTCAAACGAAAGACAATCATCGCTACGACGATCATAGTAGTAACGCGTAACATTCTCTTGGCATCGACCATGTACTGGCGGTAATGCGCACAAATCTTGTACATTTCCACAACGATTTTCACATTCTTCGGCCGATTGGAAGTTATTTTGATTGCCACCACAGCCACCATATCCAAACACATCACAAACACCGGTTTGACTGTCGTAGTAATATCTTGGTGTAATTGCACGGCATGGTCCTTGATCTGATTCCAATAGGCAATGACTTGGTTGGAATGGTTCCAATTCTTGTGGTTGAGGTGGTTGTGGTGTAGGTGGAGGTGGTGGAGGTTGTTGTTTTCTTTCACATCGAGCGAGACATAATTCTTCGCTGACAAAGTTATTTTCGTTGCCACCACATCCTCCAAAGTAGAATTGTCGGCATCTTTCCTCTTTTGTATCAAAATACCAACGGGCTTCGTAGTTTTGACAATTTCCAGTTTCGGCTGCTTTGTGGCATGCGTCTTTAGCTATTTTTTTTTTGTTTTTAATTCAAGTCGATCAGTAAACCACATAATTTTTTAAAATGTAAATGCATGCATTTTTATCAAACTCACACCACAAAATTCTACTTACTTATGTTACGAGGACATTGTGTCTCACAATCTTCTAATGTTACATAACTATTCTTATTTCCATCACAACCAGTATAATAGAAAGGCATGCACTTGTTATCGCTTTGTGAGAAGTGCCAACGTGCTTTTTTAGCCTCACAAGCACCAGTTTCTTTGGGCAATGCGCATGTTGCTATTGGTTCACAATAGTTTTATTGGTTTTGTTAGTACCAAAGGATTAAAGCAAATGGGAATAATTATATTTATAAATAGGTTTATTTTTTTCTAAATAAGTAAGCGAGTAGCTGCAGAAATAATTTGAGCTAATACCACAACCAAAATTTATCAATAAAATTATATCGCTTCAAGCTAATTCCACAACTGAAAATTCATTAAATGGAATATGCTTGAAACTTGCAAATAATTCTACATATGTTATGAGAAAAGCTCGACCAAAATGAAAAAAAAATGAAATGTTACCTTTTTGTACGGATGGATTTTTGCATTGGTATTTACAAGCTGATTCCGATGCAAAGTTGTTCTTTGTTCCTTTGCATCCACCATATCTGAATGGTTTGCAAGTATCGTCTTCTTTGTCAAAGTACCACCGTTCAAAGTTACCGTTGCATGGACCTTCTTCGAGTGGTTGTTCGCAAGCAGCTAAGCAAATTAAAAATATAATCAATTTGCTGTTATTGCATAGAAAAAATAAAAGAAAATCAAAATATATTTATTTTATTCTTACGCAATGATTCGTCTACAACGCATTGTTTCTGGCAATCTTCCAATGATTCAAATCGGTTTGTATTGCCCAAGCAACCACCATAAATAAATGGCGAACAGATATTTCGGTCCGAATCGTAATAGTATTTAGTATAGTATCCATTGCACGGTCCTTTAATCTTTGGTACTTTGCATGAATCTTTGCCAATTGGTTCTTCGCATGTGCTTTTACATTCATCGATTGTTTCGAAACGATTTGTATTGCCACCGCATCCGCTGTACCAGAATCGTGAACAACCTCCATATTCAGTATCGAAGAAATATTTAACGGTGTAATTACTGCAAGTACCACCATCTTTGGTGATGCTACATGCTTTCTGTGGTGTTGATGGAATATCTTCGCATCCATCGAATTGTTGTCCTTGAGCATCGGTAACACCTTTACAGCAAACGAATAAATAAATTTAAAAATAAAATTCAATCGCGAAAAACGTAATGAACAATAAAATAAGATGATAATTAAGACGCGGAAAAATGGCCAAAAATTCGTTTATCAATTACCGTCTGGGCAGCATCCATATTTGCTGGTGGCACATGTACATCCAGCAAAGTTCTCTCCGCTGGCCGCTGTAACACCATCGGAACAACACTTGTATTTTGTTTGTGCACAGTGGCAACCATAACCATGTGGACCTTGTTGAATTGTAACGCCTATTGAAACAAATGAAATGATATCAATCACACCAATAAGTTAATAATAACTTTAGAATCGTTTAGCTCATAAAATTAAAATTACCATCAGGGCAACATCCAAATTGATATGTATGACAAGCACAACCTTCAAATTTGGGTCCTATAATAAAAAAAATGTTAGTTCATCAAATGATTTGATATCAAGACATTTTAAATTTTAATGATGATTTACCTGTTGCTGGTGTAACCTTATCTGGGCAACAGCCGTATTTTTCGAATTCACAACCACATCCAGCGTTATCATATCCTCTTGCTGATGTTTTTTTGTCTGGACAACATCCATACGGTGAGTACTCACATTCGCAACCTTCAAGATTTGGTCCTCGGGCCGCATTATAGTTATCAGGACAGCAACCGTATGGTGAATTGAGACAGCATCCTTCACCGTTTGGACCATGAGCTGGTGTCGTTTTATCTGAGCAACAGCCAAATGGTTCTCGTTCACATGGAGCACAATCAGCCGTTGTACATGCTGGTTTGGGTGTGACAGCTTCAGTTGTTGTTTCTTTTGTTTCGTTTGTTTTCTGTGGTTTTGGTGTGGTGGTTGTAGTTGTCGTTGTTGTTGTTGTTGTTGTTGTAATAATTGGGCAACCTGAATTTTAAAAAAATAACAAAATTATTTCCGAAAATCTTTTTCTGTTCATAGGAAAAATCGCTTGATTTCTTACCTTCTTGATTGGATCCTTGTGCTTCAGTTTTTCCATCAGATGCACAACATCCGAATAAACTACTCTTACACAATGGTTCTGGGCATCCCTTGTATTTTTTGCCTTTGGCAGCTGATACACCGTCTTCACAACATCCGTATTTGGTTTCTTTACATGTTTCTGGTACCGCACAACCTTCATCGAATGGACCAGTTGCTGCAGTTGTGTTGTCCGGACAGCAACCAAATTTGCTCTTAAGACATGCCGATGGTTTGTGTGGTCTTGGTTTACATTTGCGTGGTTTCTGTTCTTTGCTAATAACATCTTCCAATGTGTATGATGTTGTTCCCCAAATATCTTCGTCGGTTGTGTCTGACGATAAGCTCGATGAACTGATATGATGGTAATCGTTAATTTTTTTGTTGTTGTGTTAATCATTCAAAATATTTACCTGAATTCACTTGTACTTTCACTCTCTGATGTGGATTCCGTGGAGAATTCTGATGTTGATTCCGTTGAGAATTCTGATGTTGATTCAGTACTTTCGGTGGCTTCGCTGCTTTCGGTCGCTTCACTCGATGAACTAACATCGGTTGACGATGAAGATTCAGAGCTTGATGATACATCCGTGCTGGATGAACTAATCCAAGATTTATGAATTATTACTTTTTTATCAATATTTTTATTCATTAAATTGCAAATCATTATTTTGAAACACACCTGTTTTCACTTGTGCTTTCACTTTGTTCGGTAGTTTGATCGCTTCCGGTGGTATCACTGCTGTCTGTACTTCCTGATGATGATGATTCTTCGGTACTTGAAGAAACGGCTTCACTGGACGAGCTAGCATCGCTTGTTGAACTGGATAAACCAGATTCAGTTGAGCTTGATGAATCACTGGTGGTGCCTGAGCTTGATGAATCGGTATTTGAATCAGTTGTGAACTCTGTGCTTGTCTCAGTTTCTATAACGATTATATTGAAATATGATTCAAATTAGATAAAATAATAATATTATTTTAGGTTTCAACTAAATCGCACCGGTTGTTTCAGGACTTGTGGACTCGCTACTTGATTCGCTACTTGATTCGCTACTCGATTCGCTACTTGACGCGCTACTTGATTCGCTGGCCGATTCACTGCTAGACTCTGAGGAGCTTGATGAAATGTCTGTAGAAGATTCACTGGATGAGCTTGTGTCGGTGGCTGAAGTTGATGTGTCCGTACCGGATTCTGTCGATAGTTCGGTACTTGATTCAGCTGATTCTATAAAAATGTTATTGAAAAGTTATCATACATAAATAAGATTTCGAACCAATTATGAAATTCAAATAAATTCATTTACCAGTTGATCCTGAGCTTGTAGATTCGCTGCTCGACTCGCTGCTTGATTCCGATGAGCTCGATGATGCTTCGCTCGATGATACATCAGTTGAGCTTGGTACTTCAGTTGAACCACTGCCATCATCGCCAGATCCCTCGTATGTTGATGCTACGATTCAGACGATTAATTTAAATTATGGTATTGATTTAAAAGCCTCTAAAACAATGAAAATACGTACAGAAAATAGTTGTGTCATCGATCGTAGAGAATGTTGCATCGCTTTGCATATCTTCGGTGCTCAAAGATGATGAAAATGACGATGCTTCAAATTCAGTCGATGATTCGAATGTTGATTCGGATGAGTCGTCAGTCGTTGAAATAACTTCAACATCTTCATCATCTTCATCACACCATTCATCACTTTCGTCATCCTCTTCAATTGGCTTGGCGGTCGTATCAATTGGAATCAATTCATCTTCAACGCATGGTTCCTTGTTACAGTCTTCTGATGAGAATACAATTGTGTCTTCTCCACATTTTGCTGGTGCTACCGAATTTCCATCGGATATGCAGAGTACTTTACGTGTTTTCTTTCCACCGCCACATTTTTTATTACAATCACTCCATGGCCCATTGAACCATTGACCTTCGCATTTCTTTTCGGTGTCACATTCCTTTGAACTTTCTGGCTTCTCGCCAGCTTCACATTTTGATTCATCATCGGCAATTTTAACGGCATTTCCATCAAGTTTACCGCACACAATATTTCGAGTTTGTATACCTTTGCCGCAATCAACCGAACATTTGCTCCATTGTGATGAAAACCATTGATATTCACATTCGACTGTTTGATTGCATGGACGACTTAATTCAGGCAATTTACGATTTGCACAGAATGTTTCGTTGTACACTTTTCCCGATTTCGATGCACATGATGCTGTTCGTGTCTCTTGTGATAAACCACAGGCTTTGCACTACATATTTTCAATTTAAATAATACGAATAATTTACAGAACAATTAATATTTTCAATTCATTTGAATGTGAGTATTGCTTACGCCACTCCATTGTGATGTGATCCAGTCGACACCTTCGCATGGTCGCAAAATACATTTTTGTGATGCTTCTGGTTTTGGATCCGGACAGTCAGCATTGTTCAATACTTCAATTTTTCCTTCATTTTTACGATAGCATTTGATGGTACGGGTTTGTACACCTTCACCGCACAATTTACTGCACTGTTTTGAAGAATAAGAGAAAAAAAAAAAAAAATCAGAACTATGCTTACAAATAACGCATTTTATGAATAACATACCCCCTTCCATGATCCAGTGTGCCATATTGGACAAATCTTTCCAAGATTACATTGTTTTTCGGTGGCTGGTTTATTGCCGGCCTTTTGCAAACACTCGGCATCATCAAGTAATTTGTGTTCTCTGTAAAGCGCATTGAATATTAATTCATTTTCTTGCATATTCATTCTCAATCAAAGTCAGAAATAGTGTAAAATTGACCAAGTACTATGCTTACCCATTTGATAAGATTTCTTCGCATTTAACTTCACGAGTTTGATTTCCAGTGCTTCCGCACGGTGCTGAGCATTTGCTCCATTCACCTTCGGTCCATTGTGGTGGGCATGTTTCTTGTCCGCATGGTTGGGTTTCGGCTGGCCGATCGGTGCTACTACACAAACTGTCGTCAACTGGTTTCAATGTTTTTTGACTATTGCAGGTAATTCGTCGTGTCTGAACTCCACTTCCACATCTTGCAGAGCAATCACCGTACGGTGAAAATGTCCATATGTAGGTATCTGGTTCAGTGAGATGAGCTGCGGCTTCGTTCACACTATACTCATAATGAACACCAACATTACGATCTTGTGACAATAATACCAAATAAACATTTTCAGTTGTTGGTCCCTAAAAAAAGAAATGATCACAATTTTAGCAACAGTTCAAAATACAAATGATCGATTTGAGCATTACGAGACATGTGAGTTGATCGGGAGCTGCAAATCCTTGTGGACGACGATCGTAATGCCAAATCGAACCAGCAAATGTCAACGGACGTGGAAAATCAATTCGCCAATTTCCGTTCAAATAGTAGTGATTTGATGAATTACGAATGGCCAAATAGTTGTTTGATGGGGCCTTTTCCTTGATTTGAATATTTGTCGCACCGCTCGGAATCAACAAAATATCATTATAACCTATAATGAAATAATTACATGAAAAAAACGAACATTGTGACTTTTCTTCATCAGGCCCATTTACCATTTTGTAAATCGTTCATAGTTAGTGTTCCTTCGACTGTTTTGCATGTAGACCCATCACCGGCACATGTTCTGCATTTGTCTTCACGAGCTGTTGATCCCAACATTAAATCGCAACCCACCGGCTATGATGGAAAATGGAATTCGATTTGTTATTTTGTATGTGTTTTTTTACTCGTCGGATGAAGAAATTAAACTTACTTGACATTGACCATCAACGCAAACATCGTTTGACTCATCGTTACAACGTGTACCATCAGTAACTTTAGATTTGTGTCGATAGTAAAATCGTTCACCGCGTGGCATACAATTCAATTCGCATGGATTTGGGGCCTTTAAGTATGGCACCCATTCATATCGAACACCTTCGAATGGTTTTTCATCGAAATCGGCACATTGCTGATGACGAAAATCTGGCTCATTCTCCGGACAATCTTGCGTATTGCATGAAAAATACTTCTTATTTCCGCCCACGCATCGAGGACTTCCGTTTGAACTATTTACAAACATATTCAAATTGATTTAGTTTTAAAACAAAAACATTTCCATTTTTTTTTAATTCATCGCTTTCGTTTAGTGTGGGCCTTTTCAATAGCTTAAACATACGGTAAATCATTTATACTTACTCGACATCATAACATTCACGCGTTTGATATGAAACACCGCCACCGCATGTTCGTGAACATGACGATGGGCCACTCCAATCGCTCCAGCCTTGTGACGATCCTTCGCCACCCGGAATTACATATGTTGAAGGTAAATAAACATTGTCACCATATTCACGTTTCGGTCGAAAACCAATCTAAATAAATTGCACCATTTTTCAAAATCAAATGTTTTATTAAGCAAACGATTGTTTGGGCAAAGAAATATACGAATATTGTTTGGTGCCTCACCTGTGATCTTGTGTGAATAGGATTTAAATCTATTGTAATCAGAAACGAAATCAAGACGGCAAATCTGCAAATTGTTTAAAAGATAAATGCAATAATATGTATGCGATGCAAGCTACTATGCAAAAGAAAATAACAAATAGACAAAATAAATAATCGCTTGTGCTCTTTATTGCAATTGTATATGTAAATATTTTACTGCATAGACTAGTCTGAGTTGTTTATGCTGCGATAAATAATGAATGCATTTGCAAAAAAAGGCACATCATCAATCATATATTTATATTTTATTTCATTTTTTCAACAATAGCTCAGCAAAATATCGCATTTTTCATAGCAGTATGACATTCCATTATGTTCTTGTGATGTAGGAGTTGCATATACAATGTGGACTATAATAATCATGTGATGATAGTCATTGTAAAGAGAAATCGATAACTACTGTCTCGGAATCGCCCATTTAATGATGTGTTTATTTGCCGCTCACTTCAACAGAATTATTGTTTACCAAAAACTGTCAGTATCAGCATCTCAAATTACAAGCCATGGCAACTCTGACCCACTTATATCGGGAGAACGCATTGCGGCTTGCATTCAATATCAAAATTTACTCCATATTAAATCCTTTCAATGGCTCTATCTCCGAAAAGAGGATGTGCATGATGTGTGAGTGTGCATTGCATGTGGCACATTCAACTTTTATGATTTCACTTTAAACAATGCGTGAGGACGGATATATTTGCTGTCATTTTATTTTTCTTTCGCTGCACTTTAAAATCATTCTTCCAGTTTTGAAATGAACTTGAACCCTTAACATAAGTTCCGAAAGCCGCTTATCACTTGAAGCATTTTTGGCAATACCAAGAAACAAAACGAAACTAATTTTAATTAATAGTTTAACACATTTGTCGAAAAATCAGAAAGCAAATGTACAACGGCACAAATGCACAAAAGATGCGTATCGTTTGTATTTATAAAATTGCTGGGTTTTTTTTCTTCTTCGGTGTAACCACATGTCGAAAGACATATTCTAATTCAAAACGGTTTTTTTTGGGCGGTATGCATGTTATATTTAATGGAAGGAAAAATTGTTTGAACCGACGATAAGGGATATTAGAAACCACATAGCCTTTGTTTTTCACGCAAAATTTCTCAGAATTAATTTATATGAATAAATTTTGTTAATTATTATACTGTTTTTTGTTTTATCCTTTTCACATTCGGTTTCGGCTTCAATGTGCGTTCGTTTCAAGTTCATTAAAGTCTCATTCAATGCAGACAATTTGTAATTTACATGATATCGCTCGTAATTATTATTAGTGACAAAATATGATCGCGTTTGTTTTTTTCTGGCGTATCCATATCGGGTTTGTTGATTGGAACTTTTTAACGTTTCAATGCAATTCAAAGAATATTCTCGCAGTCCCCGCAATATTCAGTTAAGACAATGTGTTTATATAGTTTTTTTTTTAAGGCATTGGTAATTTCAACTAAATCGGTAAACCTGTAGATGGTTTTAAGTGATTTACTTTGTTTAACACAAAACATAGTTTTCATTTGTTGAAAACCATATTCAATTAACAGAATGAAGACGGTTTTGTATACTTTTCCATTTTCTATGTCGTTTTGGTTCATAAAAACGAATCGAAGCCATTTCGAATGTCATTTTCTACATGAAAACATATAATTCTGCATATTCGTGTAAATGAGAATGCAAAAGCATTGAACTCAATCGAGGGGAAAAACCATTGAAACGCTGGCGCCTTCATATATCTTTGGTTCGTTTACATCAAACGTTAGACATGGCGTCACTCTTTGAATAGATATGCCTTCTTTGAAATTCGAACGACGATCTCTTTTTTTTCGGTTCAAATTGGTAGAAAAACAAAACCAAAATAAATCCTTCACATCTGATACATTGACCGACTCTGCTCAAGATAAATCTGTTTGTGCCTTCTTCAAAATTATTGCTGTTAATAGAATTTATTTTGTTGTTTTTTCTTCCTCTCAAAATGGATTTCAAATTCCAAATTATGTCCATTTACCAAACCAAATGGAGTTGATCATTTTGTCAAGCATGTTCACTCATCGGTTCACATTCGTCACGTTCAGGCCAAATATTTTCTACACACAATAGTACATATTGCATGTGTGCAAATGCGCGCTATGAGTTTTTCGGATCCGAAGAACCAAATTTGATTTCAATGCTCAAGCAAAATACGCACACATGTTTAAAATTATGTTTAATTCTTTTGGGTGCAGCATCATTTAAACCGAAGGAAGTCTTCAGCTATTCATGTTATTTGTATACTGATAATGACTTGAAACTAGTTTTATGTTTCTTTCAATTACTTGTCGGGATTTTAGCATAAAAACACACTCACACAGAGACAAAGATTTACCATTAAAAAAAATATACGGATAAAAACCAATTGAATATTGTTGTGTGTTTTGTTGTTATTGCTGAAGGATTCTTGAGCAAATGTGCGCAAAAGAGCGCAAAAAAGAATACTGAACGGAACGCCAAATGATCAATGAATAAAGATAATATTATGGGCAATTTACGAATCGCACAATTTGACCAATATTTCTCGTTTTCTTACTTCTTGTTTGGCGCATGAGTAATGAATATGAATCGTTTGCATCATTTGTCAAACGACACAAATAGATAGAACATCAAAAAAAAGAGTAATTCGATGAAACAAAATAAGAATGCAAAAAAAGATTTTAAACATTTATTGCTGCACCGGGATGGGTGAACGAGTGAGCGAGAGAGGGGCACATGTGAATGTTTTGTTGGATTCGATTTATTGACGAACATCATTCGGCCGAATGATGATGAAATGGGATGCAGCATAAAGACAGAGAATTGACGATACTTGAGGCTCATCTATCCATTCGATTTCAAACTGCACGCAGTTTGAATTTTATTACGACATCTTTGGTTCTTTTCTTTTTTCTATCGTCTCCCTCTCTTTTAATTATTATTTCTCGTACATTCAATGCTCTTTCCTGCCGCCAAACTGATTTTATGATTCTTCAACTCTCAAACTAAAAACTCTTCGAATATTTAAAAGCAATGCAAGTACTAATCAAGAGGAAGAACATTTGCTGTAAATAAACATATATATATGAATGTGATGTGCCGTTACGCCGTCTCAACAGTCTTCCATAGCGACATGGAGTAGGAATTCTAAGCATTTTGCTTCATACTAATGGAAATTAGATTTCTTTATCGGAATGAAATGAAGTAAAAACAAAAATAACAAAATAAAACAAGGGATATGAAGCCTTCATAGTTCTGAATGAATTATTCGAAAGAAGTCAACTGAATGGAAAGATGTAAAGAAAAATAGAAGAAGTTGTAGTATCGTTGTAGCAAAAGCGGAAATTGTTGAAACAACACTTGCGAAATACTTCCAGCTAAGATTTCATATTCCAAAAAGGCCAAACAAAACAACAACAAAAAAAAACTATTTTTACTCTTTTTTTTTTCTCTTCTTCTATTTAAGCTGACACATTTCAATGGAAATTAAACTTGGCCGAATCATAAAAGCACTTGCAGCAATTTATGGTTTGCATTTATGCCGTGTGTTTCTTGGTATACATCTCGCGGTGAACAACGCGATTGATTTTGAAATGACTTGGACTATTGTAAATATTTCAGACAATCTGACGACCGATCGCCGCGATTCATTGCAATCATGTAACTTGCACAATCACCCATGCAAACGAGCTCGCGCTCCCGCGCGCTCATGCACACATATATGTACTTATGTTGAATTCTATGATGTTTGTTTTCAAGTGGCATATCCCTTGCAATTGTTGTTTAACACTCTCGCATTCGGCATAGATATTGCCCGCACTAAATGGGCGCAACAAATTTTACTGGATTGTTCACATCATCATCGTACCACATTGTTTGAATACGGTAAACAAAAGGAAGGCATAAACGTTAAATTTGCATGAGTTTATAATAATAATATCTCTCTCTTTCTCTCTCTTTCTCTCTCTTTCTCTCTCTTTCTCTCTCTTTGTGCATTTGAATTTTGCTTTAGAGATATCAACAGAAATTCCACATCAAACATGACGTCTATTTTTTATTATTTGAAGTTCGAGTACTTCATTTCAACCTACTTTAAATACGGTGCAATACATTGAATTCTCTCACACTTCTTTTTAATTTTGCTCTTGTCAAAGGCGACGAATGGGAAAAGCATCATAAAACTGCATATTTAGCTGCATTTTCAAAATGTACATTTGCATTCAAGTTAATTCATTAAAATGTATATAAAACCACATTGTATGACTATTGGCTGATTGATTTGAAATCAGGAGTTTGTACTCACAACATATAAATTGAAAAATTAGCTTAATTGCTGCCGCAATCCATCGTCATGATTAAATACAAATCACGAATGATTAAAAATAAAAGCAAACCATCGAATGGAAGCAACAGAAATGTAGATTTATTGTAATTATTGTGCAATAACCCAAATATTTACATTAGACCAAGTGAATTTCAAATGCAAACGCACACACACTTCATGCGAAATTGGAACTCATAAAGGGAATTGCCCAAGTGGTTTGAAATGAAAAATGATTAGAAAAAAATCTGGTGAATATATATGAATGAAACATGTGCACACATATTGTTCTCATCGCCGCTCTTTTGAGCAAAGGATGAACAAATTGAAAATCGGTTCAAAGAAAGCCACATTTTTTTTTTTCAACAACAAAGTGAAATTGTTTATGCTATGGACCATTTGAACATACATTTTCAATCGGCGATAGGGCATGCAATGAGAGATAGATGAGATAAACAAACTTAAAAACAATTATATGCCAAATGGTTCATGGAATTGTTGCCACCGTGCTTTTGCTGACTTTGTGGCAAAATTGTTTATATCATTTGCTATAATTGCTATGATTGCATGTGTGTGTGCGTTGCTTTGCTCGGGTAAAATGTATCTACAATCTGACATTCATGTAAAAATGAATGCTTCACACGATTTCCAGTCAATATTGTGATTTATGGTTCAATCCTTGCTCAATGCAAATTGTTTATTTAATGCTAACGGCTCATTTGTTCACTGCCGTTGATATACAAAAAAGTGAAAATAGCTCGATTCGGAATTAAAACCGCTCCATGAAAGCACTATTTCAACAATTTTTAGATAAGGCACTTAAAGCGTGGCAACAAATATGTTTATTTGAAGAAAAAAATTGATAAAAAATGATGGAAATGACTCAACTGTCATATAACGTTGTTTTTTTTTGCTCACGCATTTTTTTGCTCACTATACTCATTTCCATCTTTTTTTTTCTTTCATATGAAATGAGGAATAATTTTCATATTTCAATGCGAATCCATAAAAACAAAGTATTCAATTTGGGTTATTTGATTCAATCAATTTGGTTTGTTTCAGTTACGCTTGAATTTCTTGCAAATAAATCTAATGAAAATAATCGAAACAATTGACGCGATCGTAAATTATGAAAATCGATCTCTCTCCTCTTTGTCTCATTTGTTCATTTCATTTTGAAAAGGTTGCAATCAGCCAATATCGTGATCATTTCGTTTTCTCTTTCAAATATCGGGCATTTTTTTTTTTGCAAATCGTTATAGTAAAAACTCGGTGGATCGCACATTTTTCATCCAAATAAATGTGAGAGATAGACAAAAAATGTCTGCACTCCATGCGCTTCAACAAGGTTATTATTATTCAATTCCCTTTTGTACGTTTATATTTTAAACATTTAGTTGCATTGAATTGGATGATCGTACGATGAATCGCGCGCGCATGAGAGAAAGATAAAAAAGCGCGTATTTTTATTTCTTTTTAATGAAACATAATATGCTCGTAAATTTGTTCAAACAAAAGGAGAGACACTGAAACAAACAGCACAATCTTCAATAAATAATTGAAAAACAACTGCAAAAAAGAAGAAGATAACATACAAAAATGATACACTGTGACTTAGGCCCTCTTGTATTTGATCTCAATATAACAAAAGAAGAGAAACAAGAGCCAAAGTGAATAAAACAAAACGATTCCAAAAGTGCTCGCAGCAATTTCTTTTTTCGTCCATTTCTTGTCTTGTGAATTTGAATCTCACGTTTTATATGATTCGTTCTACATATGGGCCAATTTTCACCTATATATCCTTCAATTTAAGGTGGATCAAGTAAAACAATGACTTGTTAACTGCCGGTGGACTGTTCGAGTTTCCTTTTTTGCAATTTAATTCGCATCATATTTGGTTAATGAAACATCAGCAAAGACAAGCTCATTAATTACGAGAAACACTTCATCTATGCATTTCGTTCGTGATTCTTGGTGTAATTTGCTTTCCTTACATTGAAGAAAAAAAATGTGTCACTTAAACACGGCGAACGTAGGAGATGTGCACAAGAAAGCAATTTAAAATAAACTAAATGTCCTTAAATTTATTGTAAATTTGATTTTTTTCAACACTCACTGTATGCGTCTTGTTAGTCCCATTTTTGCTGTTGGCCGATCACACTGGATCGGGCTGGTTTACCGATTATTCCGTTTGAACTATTTAAATTTTTTCCCGTCAAATTAATTATTTTGTTCTTTTTTTTCGTTAAAACTGACACTATAACAAAAAAAATTCAACGCTTAATTCACCACAAAATTTTATCGAATTTTTTTCACAATCAGGAAATTTAGTTGAGAAAAAAAATTAAAAAAAAAAAAAAATCAATCACATAATTTCATGTGTCAAAAATTGCGTCAAAAAATCTAAAAACCCAAATATTCATAAAATTCGGAATCTTTGCGTGCTATCCTTCAAACGAACCAACGTCAACTGACCTCATGCACTGCACTCATACTCTGTATGTCATTAAATTTGAGCTCTTTTTTGTTTTGAATGAGCTTGCGATAAAGAAAATGGTACACAAACCAAAACCACACACATAAAAATAAAAAGTGAAATAAAAATGAACTCAAATTGTATCCACTAACGATATAAATCTCGGCGAATGAGAAAAAGAGAGCCAGCAAGTTTGAGCTGCTGCGCGCGATGATTTCTTAAATCTCGTCTGCTCGGGCCGACGGAGAGTGAAACTATAAGCATGATTCGGCGCAAACCAAATCTCTTATAGACAGCATGAGCCCTTTTTCCGGTGAATTCTTTGTGTACAACAAGAGGCACATCGTTAAAGCATCGACAAACAACGACAAATACAAACGGACCAACGAAACCAAACAAACACATACGATCGCACACATTTCTTCGTCCAAGTTCTATGCTATCATTACCTATGCGTTTGGATCATACATGTATAGGATATGTAACGAGCCCACATATCTACGCATGATGATCGCGCTAAGCTTTCGTATATTTTGTTAAAACATTCTCACAACGACATAGCGGCAAGTTTTCCATATCGTAATCGTTTACGACAAAGCACACCAAACACAACACATCAAAAACTGAACACACAAATAATATGATTGACATTCCCAAAAACAATGATCCGCATTCAATCTATTTGAAACAGTAGCATGTATCCCTTTCGCCCTCTTTCTCTCTCTCTCTTGCTCTTGTTGTGGATTTGAAGTTATCAAAGATTTATTGCAAATATCCACAATTCCCAGGGTTCATTCGATGACAGTTATATTGATTGATACTTCATATTGCAACCTTAATTATGATTTGATGTCATTAATGACCATCGAGAACACAGTTAACATGCAACATTCACATCGATCATATGAAACAAATTAACATAAAAATGGTCATAAGTTATCAAATTTCTTAAGTGGGTTAGCATTCGCAACAAAAATCAAATGATTGTAAAAAATGGTTGTTTTTTTAATAAATGTAAAACAAAATAAAAAATAAACGAATTTGCCAAGAGAAATGGATAGAATGAACAGAAGATATGAAAATCGAATGAAGGCAAGCTAACGAAACAAAATCTACGACGGCCGATAAGAATACATATAAAAAGGAATAGGAGAAGCTGCAAAAGCATTCATGAAATGAAGAACTGCACCGAAATAGAATGTGGCAGAGAGAGAGAGAGAGAGAGAGAGAAAAAAAAGCGAAAGAAATAATGAAAGAAAGATGAGAGTGAAGAACGAAACACAGAAGAGACACAGTCATATTCATGCAAACATAATATAGTGAGAGCCCGAATGCATACCGAAAACAGGCGCAACAGTTCCAAAGGGAATGGTTGCAGGCAATCGTGTGTGCAAAACGCAGTCACAACATTTAACTACTGATTCAATATTTAAACATCGAAAGACCGAAAATGTGCATGCGTTGCGCATTTCATGTTGATATTGCCCCGGCTCTGTCGCTCAGTTGGATTTGCCGCTGCAAAGTATTCCAAGTGAAGTACATGTGTTGATTTCGCCGGTATTATTAAAACTGAAAATGAAACGCTGTAAAACAAAGCAAACTGTGCACATATTGTCGGGCAATAGACAATACATGTTTCTTTTTGCTCGATTTTCTGTTAGATCTTGAAACTGTTGCTTTGGACCACTCTCTCTCTCTCTATCTCTCTCTCTCTCTCTCTCTCTCTCTCTCTCTCTCTCTTTTCTACAAGTTGTATGTAATTAAATCTACGAAAAAAAAGACGAAAAGATTTTCAAATCACTTTGTAAACTGAACGCACATTCGCATCCATCCAAAACCATGGATACAAACGTGCCGATATACATAGCGATCAAGGCTGCTTCAAATTCTTTACAGTTTTTTTTGCTCTTCGATTCTCTTCTTTTTAGCAAAAAGTGCAACGATTGCTGAACCACGAAGTGAGAGACGCTCAACGCACGGAAAGAAAGAAAGATAGTGAGAATGAGAAAGCGAAAATTGCAAATCACATAAACGCTGATAAATTCCCTCCATCGGCACACTTTCATTGATGTGATCTGTTCGCATAGTCGTCCTTTTTCATTTAAACAAAGTGAATTTATGTATTTCTTTAAGAGTGAGACTTTTTTTCAACTTCTTCTTCACCATTCAATCATGCGTTTGCAATGGAACGTTAACAAATTGATTTATAAAGTAATAAAATGTACATTTTGCTTGTGTTGTTCATTTTTCATTAGAAGATCTAATTATGCATCGCCACAATCTTCAAGCCAACCCTACACTTAAAAGGGAAATAAAACGGACGATCTGCTGCCATAAATCAGAGTTGTGCGGTATTTTTTTTTATTCTACTCTTCAACACCATATAAAATGCTTTCTTATAACATTTTTCATGTTGATCTTGACCATCAAACATATGATGCTGTCGCAGTCAATAATGAACTTCATATATATATAAAAAAATATATTAATGATTCTGATTTCGCTGATTGTAATTAAATTATTGTGCAAAATGTATAATCATAGATGGTTGTTCGTTCGTTGTTCAAAACAATTCGACTTGTAATCTCAGAAAATGATGTTCCAGCCATCAAAGAAAAAAAAAGAAGTCCATATTATAATTACCTTTTTATGCGCTTAATGCTGGCGATGATCTGTGTACACTCTAATTAGCATATCAAAACGTTAATAGGATATTGATTATCATTTTAGATGCATTTCAATGTATGGTTGCCCATCATCATAACGATCAATGGTCATTACTCAGCTAGAATAGTGAATTAACATAAATATACGTACAAAATTGGGTATATTTACGTTGAGCCAATTGACTTCTGAATGTTCTATTGTTAAACAAAGTGTTGTACTCGTTTTTTTTTTATATCCATGGTGCTAATTTCACACTTCAAATAGAAAAGCCATTGCCTTGAGAGATACATATTGTGTACGGTGTGCATCGTTGTGTATAACTTGCGACGTTTGCCGTTATCATTATTGTTGTTGTTGTTGCTGCTGCAACGACAATACAACATTGTTGTCTCATCTCTGGTTGATGCAATCAGAACCGCTTTTATTTTATTATTCAAGTAAAAGTGTAGAGCAATTTTAAAACCTTCAGGTAACCCATACTTTACAATAACAAAAACTATAATACATGAGCAATATGTTGTAATCGAATTTCTACATTGGCTTTAAATGCAATTTCTAGCATATTTTCTGGCTGGAATATTTGCATCGAGGGAGATAATGATGTTGCATTCTTTACTGTATGGTTGGCCCTTAGTTCGATAATCCGAATGATATTCAACCGAAAGAGAGAAAGAGAGTATTAATCTGAGAGCGAGTTGAGTGGAAAGGTTTTCGAGGTGAGAGAAAATCATTAAAAACCACCATAAAATCTAAATGGATGGAACGTAATTTATGCCAGAGAAAATCCGTAAAGTGCTTTTATTACAATAAATATTATGATGCACACTGTGCACGTGTGCATCATACTAAACAATTTATTGTGAAGAAGCCATAAAAGTATGTTCGTGTTCTTGGTCTTGTGTAACATGCAGAAAAAACACATAAGAAATGACTGATTATGTGCAAAAACAACATCATTTGGAATGTTTTTCGATAAATAAAGAATATTGATAGTTCCAAATGTGACAATATACACTTTATACACAAAGTAATATCAAGAACAATTTTTAATGGTTTTGACTAAAAAAAGGAGGCAAAGTTCCTATAGTTTTTCGTTTGCATTTAAATTGAAAATGTTAATGCAAATTATGACAATAGCGTCTAAAAAGAGTGTCCTGTGTACATTTTTGAACAGAACGAAATGCGTATGCCTCTTTTGCCGACAGTTGGTCACACCGAGAATAACTTGGAGTGCAAAAGGCATGTTGCAAATATATCAAGAATAATGAAACTGTCATGGGCCAACGAGTGAAATTACAAAAAAAAACCTTTATGCATGGTCTATACACTAACAAGATAGATATGGCATATTGTATAGCATTCTTCTTGTCTCGGAGACGATTTGCTTCGTTCCGGTATTATTATATTTTGTATATATGATAAGGAATGATTCACATTCTGTTGTACATTTGCCCATTTATTTCGAAAGAAACGTGAGCATAGCTCTACTGTACATTGGTTTTCATGTGCTGCTTAATCATAGACGCATTGTTCAGGACTGGAATTACCTATTTTACAATATGAACTCATGGGTTAAATGTTCATTACTCATTAATGTTCTATCATTTGAATTCGTTGGGTCAAAGTATTTCGTCTTATTTGTTTATTTTTTTTTCAATGATTATTAAAATCATAATCCTTTCATTGTTTGAATTTCGGATGAAAACGAAGATAAAGCAACATTGTTTCATATTTCGATTTTGGATTTTCGATTAGAGTTCAAACATCTATTTACCAAAGCAAAATGAAACTAAAAGCATTGAAAGCGAGAAATTATATGTGTCGAACAGAAATGAATATCACTAGACTGTATCCGCTGTTCGATATCCTTGCTCCGCAAATATAATCAGTCAACTTAATCTTAACTGTGATAATGGAGCACATAGTCTTAGCAAAGTTGTGTGTTCTATATCAATTCATTGTTGCAAATTCTATTCAAATTTAAATTGTGTTATTTGTGGTAGACGTAAACGAAATCGCAATCTCTCACAAATGTGTTTTGTTCAAGGTTTTCGAATGCGCCGCAACATACAAACTATTTGCGCACAATATGCACACAACATAAATATCATTGCGAAATGATTGAATATGTATTAATACATTGCAAAATGGTAATTTGATCATTTGCTCTAAGTCACATTCCTAATATGACATATTACACACATTTGACGTTTGCTATGTATGATCCACGTATTGTAGTTATTTCTAGTTTAAAAGTGTCAAAAAACTTGGGATTTGTGTAAAACAACGGATGCTGTTATCGTCGAACAACGGAATACAGATTGTTTTTTTTTATTCTCTTCTCTAATTGTTTTCCTTTTTGTTTAAGTTAGATAGATATATGTGGCCTATATTTAAAACCGTTTAATTCGTTTATTACTTCCATTTGTTGCATGTTTTGTGTATTGTTACTTAGAGCGTTTAGAGAGTTTCCGGACATGTTTGGTTGTGTTTCTGCTTGTTATTACTCTTTTGTCATTTCATTCATTTCAACAAAAAATGAATAAAAGTGTGTTTGCTACTATGCCGCGTTTGTTTCTAAGGTGAACTTTTCGGAGGCCACATCGTACTAATTTTGTACGCACATCCTTTTTGGTGGGCAGTGGAAGTGAACGCTTTTTTTACATTTGAAGGTTTATGCTATGTACGGAACGGAACTTGTGGCGACTATATTCCAAGAATTTCTATTTCATTCAAACTTTTGATGAATTTTATCAGAAATAGTAGAGTATTAGAAATAGTAGCGTACGCGCTCCAAATATGTGGTGATAACGCACGATGATGGAAAAAAATCGTCTAACATTTTTATCTCGGTCAGTTCATTACTACGATAGATATCCAAATCGGATCAACGTATTTACTAACCAAATTTATTGAATCAAAAGCAGGGCGAGAATAGGTTTTTTTTGCAACTGAAACCGATGATAAGCGGTCGAATGTGATATTTTTGACGCGAATTTAAATCAATGAATGGAAAAACGGTTATGCATCGATTCAGAAATTTACGTTGTCAAATGCGTAGGCCGAAATTGAAACAAAAGAATAGATTACGTGATTTGATGTAGATGTTGCTGTTTTGAAGATTCAAATATTTGTTCACTTCCGAGTTCCGTTTTCACTATCATGAAATGTGGACATGTTCGCTATGCTGGGGAAACTATTCATTCATACACATTGATTCACGTACACATTCAGCGTTGTTTATGAATGAATGAACATTATTGCGATAATTCTTGGATAAAGTAACCGGGTCTTGTCATTTATTGCATAACTAAATTCATTTTTTCTCACTGTGTAAATAGTCGTATGACATTTTAACACTGCATAAATTGTTTTCAGTTAAATCAATATCATTTTCTTTAAAAAAATAAAAAAAATCATTTTTTTCTGTTTTTTTACAGCACATCGCCAATATATCAAGCTTCCAATTGAATGTGAGTGAGAATGAAAGTGAGACTTCTCCTCAGAACATAGGAATGTGAAACAAATCTTAAAAGATTTTATTGAATTGTAGTACCAACGCAAATGTTATTGAAATGAAACACGGCGTGTTAAAAATTTCTTGCCGTGTGTATCAATTTGAAATGCTTTTTTACGATGTTACCAATACAAAAAATCAAACAATATATTAAACTAATTGGTCAGTTGAGCTGACAGTACGTAAGCCAGCTAAATGGGCCAAAACAATAGAAGTTATTGTTATAATGAACAATGACTACTATTAAAACAAGAGAAGTGATTCATCATTAAAACAATAACGTCTATTGTTTTAGACCATTTAGCTGTCTAGCTCAACTGACCAGTTAATTCAATATATTGTCTGCAAAAAATTGATTTCGATGTTACGAATATAAAAAAATTGGATTCAATGTTACGATGTAAAAAAAGACCAATTTTTACGCTTTTTAAAGATTGATCAGAAAAGTCGTGAATTTTTTTTCAAAATGAATTGGAATGTAAATCAAATGTCAACATATAAGGTTATTCAATAGGTATCATATGACAAGTTTATATGAAACTTTGAGAAACTCGGTATAGTGAAAAAAATTCAGACCGTGATTTGAATGTTATGGAATGCGATTTTTTTATTTCAATAAACTAACAGAAATTTGGTATTTTGAATATTTTTTTAATTTCAGATTCCAGAATGTCCGAAAATTGTTAAAATTCATCAAAAATTAGAAAAATTAGTTAACAAAGAGAATTTACGTAATTTCCGGACATTTTGATAGAATAATATACACACAAAGATAGCAAAAAAAGAATCAAATTTTTTCATATGATTTTTTTTTATTTATTTTTTTTTTTTAAGTTCGTATGTGGTAGATTTAAAATTCTATACGGAAACGATAAATTTATCAGAATTCGTCATTTTGGAAGAAGAGATTAATGGAAATAGGTCGTATTTTTCCCATTCAGTCGTGTTTCAGAGCCCAAATGTCGATGAAAATTCAATTCGAATAATTTATTTTATCGAATTTTTTATTCGGAATAAAAAAGAATCTTATAAAGTAACCAAATTATGCCTAAACCAAATACATACTTCCGTTATGCAATTAAAATTCATATGGTATAGTGAATTCTATGTAAGTTAGATAATTTAATTCACTTTTTTTCATAACAAGTATAATACCGAGTATGTATTTATATGTATGATAATTTATATTTAATTTTATTTTGGTCAGTTCAACGGCAACGGTATTAGACATTATTATACTGTCAAAAAGTTCCAACACGGAAACCATCCTTTATACACCTTGTTCGCGTTTCTTACCATCTCTCCAGTTGCATTGGTCCAATTTGTATCATTTAAAGAAAGAACCTAGGGAAAAATGTGACTTTATCTGAATTCAACTCATTTGAAGAATGATACTATTTATTTTTAATTAAAAAAAAAGTATTTTCACATCAAAAAAAATAAAAGTGCCAACGACACATGGTGTTCCCAGACGGTCACCCATTCAAGTACTAACCATGCTCAATGCAACTTAACTTCAGTGATCGGACGAGAACTGGTGCTTTTTACATGATATGGTTGTTGACAAATGTTTACTATTTTTTATCGAACATATTGATTCATATGATTCGCAAACATTTTCGAAATACATGAACACAAAAATATGATTATTCTTGGTACCATTTGGTACCCCTTTTAATCTGTTACTTTAAAAATTAATATTATTTACTTCTAATTTTGTACATAGTATATTTTTTTATTAAATAACAGACGAAACTATAGACAAATACAACTGATTTAGTTTTTATTATGAAATCCTGGATTCCAATCAATTTCTTGTCTTTCTTTTTTGATTGTGTAACAAATGACTTTATCACCAGGTTCAGCCTCAACCGTTTTGTCAGCTAATTGTAGTCCACAATCGACGCCTTTTTTAATTGTATCAACTTCGTTTTTCATGTGTCGCATCGAACTCAGTTTGCCTGAAAAATTGAAGTTATTGCTTTCAATGTAAATACGATACAAGAACAAAGAAACAAACAAACAAAAGTGCCACCAATTTAATTACCATCGTAGATTATTTCATCATCTCGTAAAATTTTATATTGAAGATTTTTCTTCAAATTGCCTTTCATACAACGGCAACCCATTACGGGAACTTTTTTATTTCGTTCATTAATCATAAATATTTGTTGTACTTCTGCTTCGCCAACAACATCGTCAACATCAATTTCCGGTAAGCGATTGTTTATTTCGGCAATAACGTCCTCAAATAATCGATAGATAATATTGAATTCGCGCATAACAACCTCGCTTGATGGCTGCATTCTTATTGAAAAACCATAAATGACTGCATCAAATGTTTTCGCCAATTCAATATCACTATCGGTAACTGTACCAACACCATGATGTACAATATTCAATCGACACATTTCCGAACAATCGTATGTATTAAATACATCGAGAATCGCTTCCAACGAACCATGCACATCCACTTTAATGATAATATTTAGTTTGGGAGTTGGATCTTCTGGTGCATAGGTTTTTTCTATAATTTGACTTTTTTGCTTTTTGGTCAATTGACGCCGCTCTTTATAGATTTTATTATGTCCTTCACGTTTTTCATTAATTGCGTCTAAATCATCTTCAGCTTTGTGAATTAGAGCCTTGTGTTCGCGGTATTTTATGACTGTATTTGCATGTTTTTCATTTTCAACCTCCAAAACTAAATCACCGGCTGCCGGCAATTCACGCCATCCCGTAATTTCGACTGGCACACCTGAAATGGAATACATAATAAATAGATTCGTCTTTAAGCAATGGCATAGAATTTTTTTTCTTGGTACCTGGTGTCACTTCATTGATTGGCTCAATGTTATGATCGAATAAACCGCGTACTTTGGCATAGGCTGTACCAGCAACTAAAACACTTCCTTTACGCAATGTTCCTCGTGTCACAATCATCGTTGAAAGTTTCCTTTAAAAGGAGCGAAAAAACAATCGTCGTGAATTTCTGATACGATAAATTTAAATGATTGGCAAAATTGGTACCCTCTTCGCGGATCAGTTTTTGATTCAATTACAACACCTTCGACGAGTCCAGTGTACTCGCTTTTTAAATCCATCAAAGCAGCTTGTGTAACTATTGCATCGGATAAATGATCTAAATTGGTTCCGTGCAGAGCTGATATACAAACACATTGAACATCACCACCATAACCTTCCAGATTAACTCCTGCTTTTAGCAATCCATTTTTGGCTGCTTCCTTATCATTTTCGTTTAATTGAAGAAAAAAAAAATTACTAAATTTCTTCTCATCGGAATGTTAACGAATACTTACAATATTAGCGCCGGGTGCATCAATTTTATTGATTGCAACTACCAATGGAACTGAAATATTTCGAAAATTTCATCAATTTAATGCGAAATGTCGAATTTAATTGAATCCAAATGTATACCATTTCCTTCTCTGGCCAAATTTAAAACCTCTTTCGTCTGTGGCATGACACCATCTTCGGCTGCAACAACCAACACAATAATATCCGTACAATGTGCACCTCGAGCTCGCATTGAACTAAATGCCGCATGACCAGGCGTATCCAAAAATGTCACACTTTCACCATTCTCCAAATCCACTGTAAATGCACCGATGTGCTGTGTTATGCCGCCGGCTTCACTTTCAACGACCGATGCTCCGCGCAAATTATCTAACAGCGTTGTTTTACCATGATCTACATGACCCATAACTGTTACAACTGGCGGACGTGGTTTTAAATTTTTCGGCGGTGCTGGTGGTCTTGGATATACATCCAAATCCTAAGAAGTCAATTTTTTACAAACGATATTCACATCGAAATCGAAAACCAAATGTTTACTTACAATTTCTTCTTTCACTTCGGCGTCGGGCGGTGCGGTAATTCGAGTTCTATATCCACATTTGGCGGCAATTTCTTTAGCTAATGGGATACTGTCAATTTTTGCATTCGGTTGAGTATCCACGACTTGCGGAAAATACGTTAGCACCTGTTGGACTATTTCTAAATAAATAAACCCATCAGAGATGAATACATTTAAAAATGGTGATAAATGTGAAAACTGATTCAGTTGAAGAAAATAAATGACATACCGATAGATCGATTCATTGAAGAAGCTAAGGTTTGAATATCAATACCACGATATATATCAACAACACCCCATACTGTTGACTTTGGTCTTTTCTTTACTATCCTTTTATTTCTTTCGGTTTTTGCCGATTTAACTAACACTTCTTCTTCTGGGTTTACGTTTTTTTTCTTTCGAACCATTGATGTTGTACATACTGAACGATTTACCATTAAATTTGGCATGGAATTCATTAGACGATTGTTCAACACACATCTTTTGTTGCCAAATGTTATTGAAGAACGGAATATAATTGCTGCCGATCTGTGTAGTGAATGAATAGAGAGCAAAAAGTGTGGTTAAGTTTTTTATTTACATCAAACCTAATGTACATAAATGCGGATTACATAAATTGATTTCATAATTTAACTGAACGGACACGAATTGTATCAATGGAAAATGATAAATTCGATATATTTTGAATATTTTTTGAAAAAAAATTAACTTAATTTTTAAATTATACCGTAATAAGTGTGATGACATTATTCCCAATTCAAGCTAAATTTCATTTGAAATGTTGTGTGAAATGTCATTGTCAACAATGTCAATATTTATATATAATGACACTGCATTACCGATTTTCCATATATTTGTGTGGTGCTGCACAAACATTATTTGTGTTGTGTTGTTATTTAAATTTAAAAACAGGTGGAAGCTATTGAGACAAAAACATGATTTTATTTATCAGACTACAGCAATTGAAAATTTAAATAAAAGACATCAATCAATTCCCGGCTAATGTCAACAAATATTGATTTGACTTTGTGATTTTGCTCAAGATTGAAACTTATCGAATGATATGATGATGTAGATAGAGGGGAGGTGATAAAAAGCACGAATATTTCCATCATAAAACCATTCCAACTGATTAAATCTCAAGTTGCACAAAAAAGTGAAATTTTATGACAAGTTTCATTCGAAGAACATATAGGATACAAACACTATTTTTGCTTCAAAAGGATGCAAAGCATTTAATATTCCAAGAGGATTGCATATTGAATGAAAATTTAATCTACGAAACATTGAATATAACGAAGGTGGAATGGTAACAGTACATACAATCAATATTAGCTCTCAATCACTCTTTCTTTCTAAATTTTCTGTACAATACACCATCCCATTAGCATTTCATCTACAGGCTCTTCGACAGTCAAATGGTGTACGCATTCGAATTGATCGAAACATGCAATAAAATCGTTAAACGAACCAATAGCATAACGGTGACGATGGCAAGATAAAATTGACTAGATCGACATCGAAGACGAAAACAACATCACCGATGCGCATACACATCGACGGAGAGAACATATTGGCTATAAATCTAAATAATTTATATTCAGTGCTGTGCGCATTGAAATTGCAAAATGAACAAGGAATGAAAAGTAAAATGTAAAAGAGATAAAGCGTGTAAATAACAAGACTGAAATGCGAAGCACACGTTAAACACATGAATCGATGATGCACGGATGCAAATGAACCGAGCGATGAAAAATGTGTACTAGGAAAAACTACGTAATGGCAACGAAAAAAAGAGTATTCAGAATAACTGAAATCAAGTAAATGGCGATGAAGAAGGATTCCAAAGGCGAACAAGCACGTTGACAAATAACATAGCGCCAAGTATGCATATTTATTTGAAAATCTTGGCTAATTTTTGGCCCAAGTGCCATTTTTATGCTCACTTTTATTTCTAATTGACTGTACGTTATGGGCGTTTAAACTGAATCCACGCGGTTGGCCGATTCCATCTGATTTTTAGTAAATAAGCCATTTTGTGTGTGGTGCACATCTGCTTTTGGTCGATTGGAATGACTCGGTTGAACACATCAGCATGCATGTATTTGAATGATGTATTAAATAAATGCGTGAGGCAAATAAAAGACAAAGCCATTCGTAGTTGGTACAATGCTTGTTTGTATACCGTCCATACCGTACACAATTTGATGCTTCAGAGTGATGAAATCTGGCTGCAAGTATCGGTTGCTTAAGGCAAGTAGTGCTTGTTTATTGTTAAATAAAGCTGATTTAATGCGTAATTTATGTCATTTTAGTTGGTTGTAGCGTAACTTCGCATTTAAAACAACTGCGAGTGCAAGTCGAATCTCTCTCTCCCTCTTTGTTTTATTAACATATAGATGAGGCATTAATAGAAGTGAATTGTGAACTTTGGTTCGAACTTCTCATTTTGTTGCACCTATAAACATTAACGGTGTTATTGTATGCGAAAAGCCTAACGCCCAAAAAAGACCACATAAAATGAAAATATATACATGTGTCACACACATTTATAAAAAAATAAAAAAAAAGCACACGACGAAAAAAAAAGACAAACGAAGAGTGAAAGCAATTCAAAACCTTCTCGACCATCTGCACGATATGGTACTGAGATTTATATATCTCTATGCAACTAACGAATGTCCTACGAATTCTTTTTTTTCTCTTTCGCTCTCGCGCATTGTGTACATAGTCCGGAGCGAACTCTGTTTACATACACTTTTACAACGTTTTTCTCTGTATCAATTTTACAGCGAACCTTGCAAATATCTACTCTTTTTATTCCGATTCGATTTGTAAATCAAGCTAAACTTGCACACAGTCAAATCGAAAAGCACATCGTCATGTGTCTGGATTTAAAAAATAATAATATGTATATATAGTCCAGTAGAGCAATTGAAATTCTCGTTGCCGCTCCAACTCAACACATAGTATCCATCCATACGAAAGTGTACGCATTGAATGTTATGCGAGTATTCCAGCATTCAGCATTCACCATGCAGCATAGTATAGCTATTGGTTGTGTTGCCTGTAGATGTATGTGCGCTCCATGGATGGAAACCGAATGTAAACTGTGAGAATTCTCTCGGCCGAACGTGAAATGCCTGTGTACTGAATCCGAAAAAGCAATACGCACACTCAAAAACTTCTAACCAAGGACAGGCCAGTATCGCAATGTGTGATGTGTGTTGATTTCGAATTTTCAAATTTAACGAAAGGATATTTCCACATTGCATTCAGTCTTCAGAAGTGACTTAGTCGCGCTTGGTCGTATCGCAGTTGCACACAACCAACTGGATACGTGTTTTCTATTTTATTTACAAAACATATAGTAAACAGACATCACATCTCCCGTTAAGATACGGCCTTTGATGGGATTCGAGTGTGCATGAAAGAGAAGATATATAGACCAAAAGAGCTGGAGCTATTTTAAAGTAAGACAGAGAATGTTGTGTACGCATAATTTGTACGTGGCTTTGTATCAAATATTGTGAACCAACAAAAATGTGGTTAATTATTTCAGTGATGTGAACAAAATGATTTGTCGGCGATTTCAAAATTACTTACATAAAGTTTTACCAAACCAAAAATAAACAGGACAACACATTGATTGAAATATATGTTTAAAGAGACATTTTTATTTTGATGGTTGGTGTTTTTGTATATATATAATTTGGAAACAAGACAACATCGTTTCGGAGTCAAAACGAAGTTAGAAATTTGTTTCGATGAAATTTTCTTCCGGTCCGGAGTGTTAGAGATAGATTCGATCGATTTGTTTGTTTATTGAATTTCAATCACTACATGTACACAAACACTTTGTGCACCACTGTCAGTTTATCATGTTTGGAGCGAGTAGGAGCTTAATGTAAATAATTTTAATGAACAATGTTTAAACTATAAGTGTTGTTGTTTTTTTTTTTAAATTTGTGTTTGTTGATCTACGGCCGATCAAACGCTAACCACCCCACTAAATTGATGAACGCATAATTTGATGAAAACACGAAACATCACATGAAAAAACGGGAATAGTTTTAACGGTAAATTCACAATTACGACTTTTAATCAATATGTATATGTTAAACTTTCCATTGTTTATGCTAACAAAAAAAAACAAACCGTCTCGACCCAGATTATAGCATATAGACGTCATTTCTAATGAATTTCAATACAAATATTGTCATTATCACCAAAAAGATAGCGGGATAGAGAGAGCGAAAGTGTGTGTGTGTGTGTTTGTATGTGATTGAATTTGCTCACCACATAGTCGACAAAGTAAAATAAAACAACATTCAATTTACGTGTAGCAATCAATTGATTGACTATTTTGGGATTTAACTTTGTCTTACATTACATGTACTCCATAGCGAATGTTATTTTTGCTTCAGCTTTCTTAATTTGTTATTTTTGACTTTGATTTCGAATGTTGTTGTCTGTCATTTGTTTAACCGCAATCGAATCATTATCATCGCCGCCAAATTGAATTCAATTTCGTTTATCCTCGTCAATATTCGTTGTCATCAAACCGTCAGAGCTTTTCAACAATATATCACATGCTATGCACTCTAACAGGTATAATAATAACATTCGACAATTTCGAACGTGTGTTCGCGCTTACCATCGGTAAATAATGGTGAAATCTATTTTAAATATTATATACTGACTGTGCGACCCGCATGTATATGCTGGAATATTGTGTGGCACGGTTTTCAGATTTATTAACAACAGAAAGCAAAAAAAGAAGATGGAAAAGAATAAAACAAAATAATCCGATGCACAATCTATTTGTGTTGTGAACACACGTATATTACACATAAGAATTGTTATTAACAGGTTTACAACGATGCCCTATCTCTTGCATATATCTCGCGCTGTGGCCGTGTGTTACGCATTGTTCACAAATATAAATATACTCCTGTCGCATATATGAAATTTTTATTGAGTAATGCTGAGAAAAAACGGTGGCAAGCCGCAGATAGAGATAACTCAGAGTACGGGGAAAATCAGCAATAAAGCGCAGATAGTAGGACTAATGACCTGATTTTAATATAAATATAAATATAAATATATGTATACAACATATGAAATGCACGATTGGTATATTACCTCCACAATTCCAGGCAACTCACAGTGTGTAGCTTTTATTCTCTCTTCGCACCTCACTGCGTGTACAAATCATAAACGATATGCCTCTATCTAGGTTGCGAACAGTACAACTGAATCCAATAAAAATGATGAATTTCATAAAAAGTAAATGTAATTTAGAGGATAGAAGAGAAATGAGAGCAAAAGCGAACAATTTTAGATTCAAGTGATTCGTCTCCTCTAAGGTCTGTTTCTCACACACACCAGTGATTATTATGAATTCCGGGTGACGGACATTTTATGAAAATTGTAATTGTTTACAATATTTTCCGATCAATCGATAAAATTCCGCATTCCATTTCGGCGGAAATTAAAATTCGAGCATCGAAACGAAATGATTATGGTGATTATTAAAACATTTTGCTTGAGTTCAGATGAATTTATTGAATTTCAAACAAAATAGCAAATAAAGCGTCGCTTTCAAGTGGTTTGGAATTTGGGAAAATATTTTCATTTCACGGAGGGGCGCATTTTTGTGTTCAGCAAAATGTTATTCATATGATTAAAACGCATAACGAGAAAAAAAAAACAAAACCTCGACAACATCTTTTGCCGATGGGATTTTTTTTTATGTTTTCGGCAATCAACAGCCCACCGTAAACACAGAGAAATGGAAGACGGAGTGTAAAGAAAAATCGTGTTAGAAATCGTCTTTTTTCTGTTTTTACATGCAAAGCATAGAATCGACACATACGCCTAATTCTCACTCTGTATCATCTGTATGTGTAATATTATGCATCATATTCACACGTAATTCACAAATCGTGGTGAAGCTAGACGCTTTTTTTTGTGCTCTTTGTTTTTATGAAAAGCAAAATTGCCATAAAGTCAGAGAATATAAAAAAAGCAAAACGAGAAAAGCACATCGAATTCCATACGTGTCGTGTAATTTGGCAAAGAAAATCCATGCAACAAACGGTGCAAAAAGAGCAAAGCTAAGAACTCACTGACACATTCACACAAAATAGTTGAATGATTGCTATGTGATGTTGATGATGTGCGTTGAATTTGTGCTTTTTCGTTTGTCGTATTGTTTCGTTGATTTCTTGTGATTTTTTATCCTTCTATTGGGAACCCGTTTGTTTGCCACATTTTTTTGTTCAATACTTTGTGGTATACAAGTGGTATTTGGACATTTTTTTTTTTGGTTTGATTGAAAAATTGACGAATACCGAAAACTTTTGGGGGAACAATGTTGTTCTTCTAAGCAATTCTCTCATAAGATTATTATAGAAATGTGTATGCATCTTCATTGCTACGCTGCAGGTTTCAATATACGTCACACCATGATATATTTTGAGTTCGGAATGTTTATTTCGTTGAAAACTTCATGAAGAGCAGAGACTTTTCCTTTGTCTTTAACTATTTCATCTTTGTATTTTCATTCCGTAGCTCACACGAATTCATACTTCTGTGCAAACTTTCCAAATTTTAGAAAAAATAATCATAGTACATTCTAGAGTATTGCTCAGCGCTGCTGCCATCCACAGCAAATTAAAATATCTTGCTGAGAATGCGTCGTCCGTCGCATGCGAACGTACGTAGCAGTTTATACATCACAACGAACAAGAATGAATCCATTGTTCTCTTCACGATTATGTGACTCAAAACATTCAAACGATTGAATAGAGAACAATGCATGTATTGTTGTTCGCTGTGATGTATAAACTCCTACATGCTCTGGATGGCAGCAGCGCTGAGCAATACTCTGGTACATTCCATTACAAATTTTGGCTGACTATGGATCTCTTTATCGAGTTAATTCGGTTGTATTTTAGTTTGAATAATAAGTTTAACACGGTGCCCGAATCTAACTTCACAGAGTATACTGAGTTCTTTCTCGCTAGTTGATATGCTATTCATTTTGAATCGATGCACTTGGTACTACTTGTTATCGTCAAGGACAACTACGATACACAATTTATTTATTTGGTACAAGATTAGTTATTAAATCAACGCATATGTCGCCTGGTCATTGTTTTATGGCGATTACAGTACGAATGAACGGTCTATGCTTGCTTCTTTCAACTTCATTGGGTCTTAATAAGATACATTTATTTACTAGCAAGTAAAACGTCATGTAAACACACACACACATCGCATTTTTCACAAACATTTAGTATAAAATTAAAATGCGGCGAAATTATGTCAAATTAGGTGACATATTTTTTACTACCATTTGTTGCTTTTATTTTCATTCTCATAAAATCATAAAGCGTACGTAAGTCATTTTATGCTATTTCGATTTTTGTTTTCTTTTTTAATTCAAAAAAAAAACTTGGAGGAGAAAAAGAAAACGAAAGAAGAGAGCGAGAGTAAATGTGGGAGTGAGGAAAATCCGTCAACAAAAATGAAGCGAAACTCGCAAAGGAAACTCATTCTCTGCTGTTAACTATTATTATACATTTTTACATATTAATTTTTAATCAACTACATTGGATTTTCATGGAGAAGCGAAAAGCGAACATTTTTCAATTTTTCAACGTTCAAAAATATCGTGTGGGTGGAAATTTTGACTCAATTTTCAATTGAAAGTTTTATACGTTGCTATGTCCAAAACGAAATTGTAATTACTTTAAAATTCAACTAGAAACGAACAGTCAATTTGTCATGTTGTAGCGCATAAATGTTAACTGTTTACCACATTCGAGTTGAAAGTAATTATTCCGAGAAAAATTTCCTCAGAACATGCTGAGATTCAAAGTGGATTTTTTTCTCACAAATCACGTTCAAAACAATTGTTTCGAATGGCAACGGGTGAGTTATCGCTGTGTTTTTTTTATCATCTTCTTGTTTTGACATGTCGACACTAAATAAAATAAAGTGAATAGAGCCCTTAACTGACGCTTGGATTAGGTGCTGTTGTATGCGTGTGTGATATTGTTGTTGCCAAGATGACATCTCGCCGTATCCAAATACGGTTGGGATTTATGGAAAATGATCATCTCATTTGATATGGTATATCATTTTTTAATGTCTGTCACACAAGATGATTTTCAAAATAAGCTAAGTGTTACTGGCACATATTTTTTGACAAACAATGATATTGTATAATATAAAATAAATTGTAATTCCATGCACATTCATTAACACAGCATAACAATAAAATTTCATAAATGATTCCTATGGAGAGTAATCTCGAAAGTGTATACAATTTATTTTAACATTAAATAAAAAATCGATTACGCACCGATTGATTTCGAGTGAACATCAATTATTTATGGTCCACCTTCTGATCGATCATAGATGATTTATTTATTCGCACGCACACACAGACTTATGTAAATATAAAAAAAAAGTCCGGAAATATTTTCAGCCGTGTCGCTAAAAATATGGGTTGGAATCAGGCCAAACCAAATGAGTGAAAGCATTTGTATTCATTCTTCATGCGGAAGAACATAGGTTTTATCGCTTATTTTTTCACGGTTTATATATGTAAATATACATTTTTCAACCGATTATTAAGAGGTGCTTAAAACATTCTTTACTTTTTTTCATAATGGGCGGTTCGAAATAATCTTTCTAAATTTTATTGTGGACTTTACACAGTAATACGAAAATGTTCAAAAATGAGGTAAAGCCCCATATAAATTGTGAGGTCATATCGGTGTTGGAAATGCGACGTTTTTTTACGTTTAGTTTCACCCTCATTTGGAGAAACATGCAAGACGTGGCGTCATTATAAAGAGAAATGGAAACATGGTCTACGAAAACCACCAGTTTGAATCTTTCGACATTAAGTCGTCAGTAAAAATTTATGCATGATATAGTTGAGAGAGAAAAACAGTAGCGATAGAACGAGATAGATAACGTCCAAACGAATCTCAAATGGTATTCCAGGGAAATTTTATTCAAAGTCAGCAGTTATAGGGGCTAATTCATCAGATCCATTTCC